CCGGTGAGACGAATCGCTCCTACATGATCTACATCAAGTCGCGCATCTATCCCAAGCCTCGTAACGAAAAAGGGCACACCGGATGGCACTCAACGCCGCCATGGCGGCTTGGACACGACGGCGATCGACGTAGCTATAGCTACGGTGCGATGAGAGTCTAAAGCGAAGGCGAAAACACGATCGGGGACTCACCACGAAACACGATGATGGGCTTGGTGCGGTCGAAGATGGTCTGGAGCGGCTTTGCCACGGTGAGGCGATCGTGGCGGAGTTCACCGGTCACACGGGGAAGACGGGTTGCGCGCAAGGCGATTCCGGCCAACACCAACGACGAGAGCAAATCGAGGAGGAGCGCAAGACCGAAGCGATCACGTTGGCGTAGGCTGGAACGATCGACGCTGCTCGGCGAGGCCTACGGCGAAGCGGCGGAGCTACTGTGGTGGTGGAGCAGCGAGCGGAGGGAAGAAATGGGAACGACGGCGGCGATCGGCTATTTATAGCCGGGATGAGCTTCGCCCATGACAAACAAGACGATGGAGACGCCACGGGCGACGCGGCGTGGCGCACTGCTGCAGCGAAAGCGGGCGCAAAAACGCTTCGGCGGTGACCCCCAGCGTGGCCAAGGCAAAACAAAGGAGGTGGAGTTGAATTTTGAAATAATTACAGAATCGCCACTGCATTCATTTCTCAAATTACTCAGAAATTTTCTAAAGAAGTTGAAAATCTCCAAAAATAAAAGTTGCTCAACTTTTCAAGTACTACAACTTTGGTTTAAGAAACATTTTCAAATTCTGCCTCCATTTTGAAATTCAAATTTGGGGTACATTTAAAGATTTGAATCATTTCAAAATTACTCCAAATTTTATATGTAATCTTGAAAAACTTTGAATACCAAAGTTGATCTACATAAAATAATCTCCAACTTTGCTTTTTGCCTCAACCCCAAATTCCTCATGGATTTTGAATTAGTCAAAAGGGGCAAAAAGGACCTTTATAATTTGAATGTGAATTCAAATTTGATTTGTCTTCCTTTTACTTAGATTTTGATTTTTTTTGACCAGTAACATGGCCCATTAGGGTTATTTGAGTCAAAGGACATATGACCTCACATGATCACATGAAATTTAACCCCTGTGGTCATGATCTGTATTTAGGGTTTTCGAAACACATCACATGAAATAACAACATTATGAAATAAACCTTATTTAGTGAATGCATTCAAAACTTTATACTAAATGAATGCTTTGCAATGCACATGATGACATGTCAAATTTTAGTATTAGGTCAAAACACCAGAGGTGTTACATGTAGTGCCGGCCCAGGCACGGCACGGTTAAATGCGAGGCACGGCTGCCTCTGAGCCGTTGATGCCCCTCCCCCGCTCATATCCACTGTTGGATCTGGCCGTTGGAGGGGGAGGGGTATATAACCGACCTCGCCCCCGTCCCCTCGTATCCATCCAAACCCTAATTCATTTTTCACCGACGCTCTCTCTCTCTTGTGTCACTCTTCTCTCTGGCTCTCTCCTCTGCGACTGCGACGCAGCGACGACGACTCTCCTCTCCTCTCTCGCCTCCGACCTCCTCGCTTCTTCTCGTCCTCCGGTGGCCTCTTGAGCCACCGCTGGCATACGACACGGCCATGTATACACCTCTTCTTGATCTTGCTTCGTCGTTGTAGCCTCGTCCTACTAGTCATCTCCATGTCCGCAGTCGTCACCGTTGTCGACCTCGCGCGGATCCGTGCTTCGTCGACGTCGCCGGTGATTCTGGTGCTCCGGCTGTGAAGGTATGACTAACCCTAACCCTAACCCTAGATCTGTACTAACTCTTTGTTTTTCTGAAGTCATTGAGGAATCGGGGCGCCAACGCGTGACAATGGCTGGATCCGACGACGACACGGTTGAGGTCGGTACCAACCAAGAGAGGCGGTTGTGCGGGTTGATCGGAGATGACGAGGACGACCTGCGCGAGGACGCCGAGGAGCTGTTCAGCCATAGCGTTCAAGCTCCCATCGTTGTCGGCGATAATCAAGAAGGCGGGGCAACAAACGTCGGGGAAGGGGACAGGGACGAGAATAGCGCCAAGCTCTCACGTCCCTCTACCTCGGCAGTGTGGCTGGATTTTAAGAAGCTCTTCAAAAAAGTGAATGGTAAGAAAGTCAGGTATGGAGCTAAGTGCATCCATTGCTCTAAGGAATACTCTGCGCTCTCTAGTGGTGGCACTGGTCACCTCACCCGGCATAGGGATAAATGCCCTAGGAGGCGTGAAAAAACTCGCATGTCTCAGTCACAGATCTCTTTTAATCCTGATGGTAGTATGCATAATTGGGAGTACTGTCCTATTGTTGCTCGTACTCAACTGGTTCGATTGCTTGTTAGGCTAGATGTTCCTATCTCTTTGGGGGAATCTGATGTATTTGAAGAGTACATTAAAACTACTCATATCCTAAATATGTTCCAGTCTCTAGGTAAACCACCACTAGAGACATATTGAAATACTTCACTGATTGCAACGCTAAGCTTGTTGAGACTGTTAGTTCTGCTTGTGTTAATTGTGTGCGTCTAACCTCTGATATTTGGTTTGTTAATGTCAAAGAGGACTACCTTAGTGTTGTTGCTCACTATATAAACTCTTATTGGCAACTAGAGAAGAGAGTGCTTGGTCTTAAGCTTATTGATTGTTCCCACAATGGACAAAACGTTGCTGATCGTGTTGCATCTGTGCTTGCTGATTATGGTTTGACTGAAAAAGCGTTTGCTGTTACTTTGGACAATGCATCATCTAATGTATCAGCCATGCGTAAACTTAGACCTATGCTGTCTAAATATCTTGGTATTGAGGTTGTAGATGATCCTGTTGAATCACAATCAGACAATGTATCATCCCTTTGATTGAAACATTTAGAACTGCAATATCATTTTTAAACTCATCTAACCAGAGAATTGCTGCATATAAAAGTTACTGCATTACCACTGGTGTTAAGCCTAGAAAGTTTCAGCTAGACATGGAAGTTAGATGGAATTCTACATATCTAATGCTTAAGCATTTGTTTTCTCATAAGGCCCCATTCACTACTTTCATGCATGCTCAATATCCTAGGACTGAAGGTGATCAGTTGCTTTTAACTGATGATCATTGGGCTATGGCAGAAAAAGTGCTTAAATTTCTTGAACTGTGTTATGATTCTACAGTTGCATTGTCTGGTGTGTACTATCCTATATCTCCACTTATAATTTATTATCTTGTTAAGATTGCTATACACCTAAAGAATTATGTTAATGATAGTCACATAAAACCTGTTGTTCAACCTATGATAGACAAATATAATAAATACTGGAGGAACATACCTTTGCTTTATTCTTTTGCATTCATCCTGGACTCTAGAGCTAAAATGAAAGGTTTCAATAGAGTGATTAGGAGGTTGGGTAACCTTACTAGCACAGATTATACTACTTACCAGTTGGGCACTAGAGCTCGACTTACTGATGTCTACAATAAGTATGAGGAGAAATATGAAGCTGTTAGGTTGAGGAGGACTGTTCCTCCTAACCTATCTGGTAAGAAAAGGTCTGCTTGGGATGAAATTTATGATGATGATGATGTTTGTGGTTCTGCTAGTGGTATGCATCCTCTAGCTGCTACTCTAAGCATGGCTAGAGATACCTCTGCAACTGCCCTGCTGTAGGCTGCAAGTTCTTTAGCTTCTAATGTTTCTGAACTTGTTTCTTACTTGCACTGTGACACTGTGAACCAGTTAGATGATGATTTTAACATCTTGAACTGGTGGCATCAGCACAAACTCACATATCCAGTGCCGTCAGTCATGGCTAAAGATGTTTTAACTGTTCCTGTGTCCACCATATCTTCAGAATCCACTTTTAGTATCACTGACAGGATCATTGAGGAGCGGCGGAGGAAGCTAAAGCCTGAAATGGTGGAGATGTTGATCTACATCAAAGATTGAGAGGCTGCAGAAGCAAGGCTGCAACACATAGTGGAGGACAAGGAGCTTGAAGAAGCATTTGAAGAACTTTATCTTGATTAGTTATCATTTATGTAATGAGACTGTAATATTATGGACTGAAGTTTGATGTAAGGACAATAAACTTTATAATTGGAGTTGGGATGTACTCTTTTTCCCTGTCTAGGGTTTCTCACAAGGGTGAGTTTTACCTAGACAGGTTTTTAATGAGGCAGCCATTGCACTAAAGCTCCCTATAAACTGTTATTTTATTATCTCTGCATGTATTTGTGTTAACTGTGCTATGGAATATAAGTTATGTGCTGTTTATTGTAAGTTTGATCTCAATTCAATAAATAAAGTGACATATCTGCTTGTCTATCTCAATTTTGTTGAAGTCATGTGGTCATTCCAAGTCAATTGAGGGGTCAGGCACTTTAGTGCCCGTGCCAGCATGAGCACTACAGTGCCGCCGTGCTCAGTGGCATGGCACGGCACGCCTAAGCACTTATAGTGCCGTGCCTGGGCCGGTACTTCGGCATGGCGGCACTAACAGGCACGGCACGGCTAACCTACCATGCCGCGTAGTGCCGTGTCTAGCCGTGCCGTGCCGGACGGCCCGTTTAGCCAAGTTTAGGATAAGATAGTAAAGGAAAATTAGACATAAATGTTTCAATCATATTTGATTTATGGGAAAGAAGATGTATTTATATTTGATTTATGAAATATATTACATTACATTATATATAATATATGATTTACTTTAAAAGATTTGTTTTGCTCAATTAGCAACGCAATGGTATATAGAAACGATATTTATAATTGATCATGGCTATATGCAAGCATTAAACGATTTATAGACAGCTAAACAAACAACAGCTATATGCGGGTTGTACAAGCTGTCTGTTTAGCCGTTTGTGTTCCAAATTCCAAGAACTTATGGACAGCAGCTGTCTCTGCGTTGTACATGCCCTGACACACTTCCAAGGATTTCAGAGAACTTTCAGTATGTAGCAGACTACACCAGTGCAAATGAATCAATCCTTTGGGTAATAATAGTATCCTGACGTCGAAGTACCAATGAGATCTTTCAGTGTTCTTGTGTCATCGGCGAGACAGATGAGGCCCATCAGGCTGCCGTCGTCGTCGTACAGAGGAGTGGCGTCGGCGACGACGAAGAACCGCTCCCCCGATTTCTTCTTCACGGGGAATTTCCCTCTCCAGCATTTGCCGGTGAATATGTTGCCGATGATGGTGTTCAGCGCAGGGATGTCGTCGGGATGGATGATCAGGCTCGTGATGTCCTGCCAGACCGCTTCCGCCGAAGAGTAGTGGTACAGACGCTCGGCGTTCCGGTTCCTGGGTTGCAAGGAAAAGCAACCAAATTTGGATCAAATTCATGTAGAATCTCACGCCGTTGTTTGGACCAATGCTAGTTCAGAACTGGCTGACAGTGCATAGGAGCAGGACTGCAGGAGTGTCCGGCATCGGTGGGGAAAAATGTTTTTTACCAGTAGAGGACCTTCCCGTGGAGGTCAAGGACGTGAGCGGCCTGCCCCAGGGACTGCATGGCCATCATGTGGTGCCTGGCGGACATCCCGGTGCACCGCGACGCCGACGAGGACTGCTCGGCGGGCTGTTGCGACGAGGAGCCGCGGCGCTGGAGCTTGGACACCTGCCGCTTGAGCTCGGCCTGGCCCTCCTCCAGCGCTCGTATCTTCTTCAGGAGCTCACGCTCGTCCTCGGCGTCCATCGCCGGCGGACGGCCGGCGGACGACGATCAATGTCGATCACTCACTGGTGGATGTGGATCGAGGTGGCAGGAGACACTGTAGGATCTGATGAAATGGCAGCAGATATAGAGGCATCGCCGCATCGGCTAGCACAGCAGCGGTTTGGAAACTAACCCAACCAAGTAAACAGCTGGGACAGAGAAGGCGACCGACCTCCGTGAAGTGTACGGATACGAGAAAAGATTATACTAGTGTAGTTGTAGGCAAAAGGCCAAAAGCTTCGCTCATGCCGGCCTGACATATTCCGGGCTCATGTGCTGATGTGCATGCATGACAGCATGAGATGGGAATATGGGATGATAGAGATACGAGAAGAGCATGCATATGCTGCATGCAGAGAGATCAATTTCAGATCGTGCTTGCCGGCAGCCGGTTGCCGCCTTGGATCCTTCCATTCCATGCTCTACGTGCAGTGAAGCTAGCTAGCTGGCGTGCTCGTTGGAGAACGAGCCCGATGAATTTGCTGTGAGTTTGTCAGTGTATTTCATTCGCTCATGATGTTTGTTGCCTGGTGGGGAGATGGAAACGTGCAGTTGTTGAATGTAGCCACAATGGTTACAAATAAAATAGCATTCTGAAATGGCCGTTCCGCATTATATCAGAATTTATATGTTTGTGTATGTGAGGATGGGACATTGAGGTAGAGGACCGGGAACTCAATCTCAACAGTTTTGTTGCTTGACCATAGTGTCAAATTCTAAACCATGTCATTGAGGCATATTCTCAACGATATTAGGCAGAGAGAAACTTCATTCATACCAATGAATCGGATTGGAGAAGTACATGTATACATTTTTTTACTGCAGTAGATAAGTGTTAAAACATAGTTGTGCGGGCTTGAGAAGACAATTAAACTAAGTCAGCAGTGAGTAAACGAAAAGGAATAAGAAAGGACCTGTAAAGACCTGCTGATGTGGCAATTGTAAAGGCAAGAAAATTGATCAAAATAGAGATGGTAACAGCAGTACCCCAATATGGCCTTGGAACTACGGACCTGATTTGACCATCATATACGCTTGTTGATGGCTTGGTATATCCGATGCTTTTCTCAACAACGGCAGGGAGGAGGCCTTGTGAGAGGAGGCTGTCAACTTCACGGTATAATGCAATATATGAGACCTTTATGCTCCTACCAATTTATTTTCCACATTGAATAAAAGATTTCAGGAAATTAACAATGGTGCCTCATAAGTAGAGTATGATTGTACTAACATAAAATAGTTCGACTACATAAATCACAGCCTGCAAGGAAATTGCTACCTCAAGATGATGAGATCAGTGAATAGGACAAAGGGAAAATATAAATGAAATACCTGTTGCATGCCAGCTTAAAGAAGATGCACTAATTCTCATTATGTCCTGTACCCATTAACTCTCATAACAGCCAATATTCCTAAAGAACTACACAGTCGAGCTCATTGTCATGATTTTGTTGCCGGCTTCTGTCAAAATTGAGGCGCTCTTACCTGAAAAATATAAAAGAAAGAAAATTCAGTAACTCTTTTGCTGAGCATACATGTTCCGGAGTCGCTGATGGAGCGTGTATAGCAGAATTACCTCAGTTAACAATTTAGCGGGCATACATCTGGGTGACACTCATAGCTTGCTTGGCGGCATTCACGCTGAAGATGAGATGGACAAAAGGAGGCATCGACTATGATATCATGGTGCTGGCAGCAGGAGATGGTCATGCACTTCAGTTGTGGTTAAATCTTCAGTCATGGGAGGGTGAAGCGAGCAGCAAGAGAAACAAAGTAAAAGATGCACGCAGTCATCAACTGTAAATAAGAAATTTATAAGAGATAAGAGTTTGTGTACCAGTGCGAGGAGGACGACACCAATGAAGCACAAACTTTGCAGCAATAATGCCCTTGTTGGGAAAATCATCGAGCACCTTTCGAGCAAAATCTGCAGCGATGCTTTTGTTGGCAAATCATCGAGCACCTTTCGAGTTGGAGTTGCAATAGCAATATTACAGCAGACTGAAACATGAATCTGAGGGGATTGGAGAAAGCAGGAGAGGATAAAAATGAGGACAGCCACTTACATGATCGAAGGGTGATGCCAGAGAGCACGCAAACACAGAAGCGTTAGGGTTTGTGCTTCATTGGTCTCCACAAATATAAGGCAGCAATCGGACGCTCCAACAGTTTATTCCCCATAATGGGACCGGATTGGATGAATGTCTCAGTCAGTTACGAAGGATTTATGGAGGATTTGTGAATCGTGGCAGCACAGAGAATGTTGGGAAGGAGAACGGGCGGAGAAGGAGAAGAGGCCGCGGGGCAAGGGGTGCCGCGGGGAAGGAGAAACGCCGATGGGCATTCCGTTCTTTCGATCAATGAAGGGATGAAGAAACGTGGGCCATGCAGGTGACGTGGTTGGCAGAAATCACGTAGAATTGTCTGTTATTTTTTCCGTTCTAAATTATAATAAGTCGCTTTGATTTTTTTAGTATATTTATTTTGCTATACAGCTAAATATATGTTATAGATATATAGTAAAATGAATGAATAAAAAAATCAAAACGATTTATAGTTAGGAACGGAGATAGCAGTACCTTGGCCACACCGCCGACAACGGCAACAAACGTACTTACTAAGCGGCAGCGAGCCAGCAAAACTCTAATATGCATGCATTCCTATTAAGTTCAATGAATTTGTTCATTCGGTGCTAGTACTACTTATGATCCTTGCTATTCAATGCGTGCACAAGGACCCTAATGATGTGCGCCATATGCAATGATGTAAAAAGTGGAATGAAGATCGAGATCTTGTTATACGTCAAGCGCGTTCTGCATTGGAGGAGATAATAATAACAGCTATAGACATCTTGGCTAGCTCGTCATGTACTACTAAAAATAGGATTTTAATTAGAGACAACCGCTTCTTGATTGATAGATTGTCACACCGTTTTTAAGACCAAAACTGAATACACATCACATGTATGCCAGGATCTGTTTAACCATACATGCGACGATCATAATAGCGATACATAGTAGTGTTTATTACAAAAGCATAACTAATTGCAAAATGATTAGAGGGTCTAAAACAAAATTACATCAAAGTTCCCGTGAAGCAGGGTTTCCATCCTCACAGGCAGCCGACCGGGGTACATCAGCCTAGCACCGGAGTTGAAAGTAGTGCACCACATTCTGGTGCTGGCACCGGAGTTATGCATCGAAGATTGAGTGCAGAGAGGGCGCATAAGCGCGGTGGAGAGCCAAAGAGCACCAGAGCTGAAAAATACGTCGAAGTTATAAGGTGCAACAATGAGACCCTACTCCACTCTATACAATGCATCGGATTTGTTTGATGGTGTACCAGAGAAACCAACGAGGACATCAATCATTTGGATGCACCCGCCTCTCCTCTAACCACTATGCAAGGACCAATGGCTAGAGCTTCATTGCGATAATTAAATCTAGAGGTGAACTCATTATTAAATAATTATTTTTATAGTTTTGAGAATAGATGGTTACCTAACGATGTTATCATGCTTAAAAACATTGAAGAAGATCATGAAGTACTTGGAGATAGCTGCAAAGACGTAGGAGAGAACGTCAAGTGAGAGGCTCAGTCCGATTCCAGTTCGAGCCTGTCTCGGCCTCCAGAGCAGCCCACACTAAAATGGACATCCAATACGCATACAGACTCCATTTTTATATTGTACCTATGAATAGAAAGATAATTTCATAAGGTTACCTATGACGTTGGTTTCACGTTAAAATTCTACCGGAGTCGATGAGAGTCGTCAAAATAAGTCAACGTGGCGTATCCCCCCCCCCCCAAATTAAACCATTGCACCGTTTGGTTGGCTGATAAGCCATGACTAAAAGTATTCTTAGCTGATTTATTATGAGAGAAAAATAATATTCGTCGACTGAAAAAACATGGCGTAAGCCAAGCGAACAGAGCACGTACCAGTCCTGACTTTCCCCAGGAGGTCAAGCCGTCAAGGATATGCACGGCCTGCCCCAGCGACTGCATGGCCATCACGTGTGCCTGGCGGACAGCCCGGCGCGCGCGGCCAACGGGCGGCGGGAGGCGCCGCCGTGAGGAGCTAGAGTACTGCCACCGCGCGCCAGCCGGGCGCTCCGGCGACCTCAGGAGCATCTTGGAGATCGCCCGCCTAACCTAACAGCAAGATCCGCGTGTGGCGTCCGCGACGACGTCGGCGCAGCAGATGGTTGCTTGGGGCGCCGGCGCGACGAGGAGTCGTCGTGGTGCCCCAGGAGCTCCGACACCTCACGCTTGAGCTCCGACTGTCCCTCCTCTAGCTCACGTATCTTCTTCAGAAGCTCCTCCGCATCCATGGCTAGTGTCGTCGGATCAAACGGCGGCCAACTTAGGCGTCGGCTGCCAGAACTGAACTACTGAAGGAAGCGTAAGATGAGAAAAGATTGGAATCAAAGGGCGGCCAAGACCTTCTTATGTCATGCCTGAGTGCCTGATGACATGACGGAGCTTGCCGGACTGGATCCAACCTGTCCGCTCTCCCTGTGACTGTGAAGATGCATGGAGACATCGTCACGTGGATGAGCTAGGATGCTTTGAGAGAGGAGAAGAGCAGAGAAGAGATCATCCTCGTTGGCTCCTTGTCCAGATGCTGACTGCAACTGTGCAAGCTGGTAGCTAGCTGGCCCTCGGAAGCTATTCCTCTGCAGTCTGCAGTGACTTCACTGGTACGTAGGCTGAGAGCATGGAGTAGCAGGTACGGTGTATACTTAAGCCCTTTGGCACGGCTACTTCAAAACCGTTTCACCGGTGAAGTCAAAGCTGATGAAGCCAGAAAAACTGATTTTTTTTTGGCTTCTAGTTTATTTTAACCTCGACTTACAAAACAGCTTCACGTTACAGTATCTCGATTTACGTAAAATAGATAAAGCTGAAGCCAGCATAAGCCGTGCCAAAGAGGCGCTTATCGTTGGTCTGGTCCTCATGCCAACACATTACTTTCC